TTTGGTTGTTTGTTTGTGATGTACATAAAAACACTCAGGAATATATAATAATTTAAACAATCAAAGCGCACATTCTGCAAGCCTGCCTCCTGGTCACCAGCACACAGCCTTTCTCTTTCCATGAGTGTAGAGTCCTCTGCTGCTCTCTCTCTCCATGTCCCCATCTCTGCCTCCATCTCTGGTGTCACTGCTTCTCTGGATAAGGTCCCACATTCCCTTTGTGTCCTTCTCCCTTGATGGTCTTAGGGTCCTCTGTTCCTGGAATGTCGATTAACTTGGAAACTGTCTTTGGAATTATTTCTGACATCTTGCTTCTTCTAAATCGTTTGTCTACTATTAGATCATTTGAGACAACATATAAGCTTATAGACTAAGTATAATAGCAATATCCTCTGTAAAAAAATGTGTGTGTACGTAGGAAATTTGGGCACTTAAGCAAGATAAGAGTAATACCCATGTGTGAAACCAAAAGATCAATTCTATGCTATTTTAGTTTATTTAGTAATAAACTAATTTGGGATGTGATCTGGGGGGCTGTCTTCTCTAGGCCTTTACTCTGAAAACTTTGCTGTTGAGTAGAAGATCTAGTTCAGTGATTTTGCAAACCACTTATAGGAGAGAATTACTGAGAATTACTCATTCAGGTTGAAGTGTTGGTTTATATGAGATGTGCTGTTTATTCTGGTGTTACTGAGAAAATCGGTGTGAAATATAAGTACTGTAAAGATTTTTGAACACAAGTATTATAAAGATGAAGGCATCTTAACTATTAACTATGGTACGTATTTGCTTTCACTGTATAAAGTAGTATTTAAAAATATGATCCCTCTGTTATAGACAAATTGAACTTCAGAGCAAAATAGTATCAACATCATTTCAGGTTATTTGGTTGTAATTAATGGAAACCTACTTTCCTTTAAAAAAGGGTAATTACTGGAAAGCTATTTTGCAGCTTACAGAATCAAAAGGAAGTCTTGTATACTGAGTGCAAAAGTAGATACTTCTACACTTTGAAGAGAGGAGTAGTGCCCATGGGCATCTCAGAAACAGAAACTCCAGACTTTCCCGACTTGCTAGAATAACACCACAGTAGTTAATCAGATCTGGGCCTTTTGTTTTTCCCCCCATATTTCCTATTGGAGGCTGGGTATGTGACTCAGATTATGGTAGGACAGGGCACCTTGATTGACAGTCCCACTCATCTGTAGTTAATGGAGCAGAGAATTTTCCAAAGACATTAGTGTCTATTATCAAAAGAAAAGGAACATAACATCAGACTGCTAACTGCCAGACCATTGGTTCAAATCTACCAACTGTTCCACAGAAGAATGATGAGTTTGTCTGCTCCTAAAAAAAAGATTGACTGTCTAGGAAACACTAAGGAGTAATTCTACTCTATCCTGTAGGGTGGCTATGAGTCAGAATCGACTCAATGGCAATGTTGTTGGCGTTTTATCTAAAGAAAGTAAAAGGAATGCTGGTCAACTAAACTGCCATGATGTTTGCCCACCATTACATTTTTCTTTTCTCATAATGTTTGTAATTTTGGTACTTTTACTTCTATTTCTATTTCCTGTATATTTGTTTCCGTGTCTCCCCTCACCATATAATTTTATAAACATTTTTCTTTGTTACTAAATGGCAAAAATAGAAGTCTTCACATCTCTTACTAGGCAGTCCAAGAATGTTGGGCATTTAGGTTATTGTTATAAAAATATTCTAAACAAAGCTATAGGGAATATCTTTAAGCATATAGTTGGTTCTATATTTTGTATTGTGTTCTTACCAGAGAGGAATAGAAGGTGAATGTACAAGTATCTTATGATTATTTGAGCATGAAGGTCAAAGGAAAAGAACATAGTTCTAATATATTTTGGTGTGTTGTACTTGGAGGACTGATATATATGCTCTCTGAGATAAAGAGGATTTCCTTGTAGTGCCCCTTTTATTATAGCCAGGAATACTCTGGGAAGGAAAGAATATCCAGAGTTGATAGCTAGCCTAAACTGGCTCGCTCAATTATATAGTACTTTTGCTCCCAGAGGTTTTATCCCCCCTGTTGTGCTTCTAGAAGAGAGGGCATAATAAAATAAATTTAAACCCCAGCAGAAATACAAAAATGAAGAGCATTTCACCAGACTTTAAAACTGTCAAGAGGAGCTGAGCCTCATCCACTCACACACTAACAATTTTCTTTTTGGACTATTAGGAGGCAAGCTGGTTTTCATGAATTCAGGACCAGTTGAGCTCAGGGCCCACTCCATCCTTGTGTCTGATGGTGGAGAGCTCCGGATTGGATCCAAGGACAAGCCTTTCCAAGGCAAAGCTCACATCAAACTCTATGGGAGTGTCCACTCTACCCACTTCTTTCCATATGGAGCAAAGTTCTTGGCTGTGAGAAATGGAACTCTTTCCCTGCATGGTGAGTGAGGCAATTTGTCTAGAGGAAATGAGTTGAGTTGTGTCTTGTGAATGTGGGGACAATGGGGGGAAACTACAAAACTATTAAACATACACACATGAAATACAACTTTTTGACTAGCATATTCTGAGGCAACAAAACACACACACACAAAATACAAGCCTTACACTATCATATTCTGAGGCAACAAGGTCAACTAGAATGCAGGTAATATTTCCTTAAATAAGAAATATTAATTGTTCTGATTCCCATCACAGAGTATACTATGGTTTCTGTTTATTCATTTCCCTTTTTATAAGAAGATTATATTCCATACTTGCCTGCTAACCCAAAAGTTAATGATTTGAACCTACCAACCACTCTTAAGGAAAAAGATGTGGCAGTGTGCTTCAGTAAAGATTTACAACCTTGGAAACACCTGGGGTAGTTCTACTCTGCCCTACAGGGTCCCTATGTGCTGGAATTGGCAAAGAAAGGGAGTGGGGGTTCTCTTTGCTGTCTGGGACTTGCAGGGGATCCTTGTGGGTTGAATTCACTTCCCTGCCCCATGAAGAATGGGGTTAGCTATGCACTTGCTTTGCTCAATGGAATGTGAGCAGAAATGATATAATCCATGGCCAAGCAGAAGTTTTATGCCATGCTTTGGCCATTTTATTCTTTCCCATCTGCTTGAGAATAGCCTTTCCCAGATAGGAGCAGTTTCTTCAGTTTGAGAACCTGAATGAAAACAAACAGGAGCAGAGCTGTAGTTGGCCTACCGCTGTCTAGCATGTGAATGAGGAACACATCATCATCGTCACAATCCACAGAAATTTGTGTTTGTCACTGCAGCATAACCAAGGGAAAACTGGCTGTACAATTTCTTAGCATTCACTGCTGTTTCTGACACGTCATAGCCTGACATTACAAACGAAACAGACACTCATTTTATTGTTGTTGCTGTGTTCCTCTCTGGAACAAGGTTCAGTTACAGTTCTGCTTAACTCGCTTACAGATGGTCTGTGTGTCTATGGATTCCTGGGAGAGGACAAGTGTTAGGTTACAGTGTGTTTCTGCTCAGCGCTATCTGTCTTCTGATCACCTAATCCCATTTTCCAAAATGGATTATTGTTTCCTTCAGATTTAGGAAATTACCAGCATAACCGTTAGTCACAACTGGAAAATATGTTTAAAATGCTGAACTTTAAGTTTGTGTCTTTCGGCAAATGCTGGTATATGTTTGGTTGCATATATTGAGGCAAAAAAGGCAGATAAAAAATATGGGCTTCAAATAGTGGCCCAATCTCCAGAAAACATGATATCTTTAATGGCATTTTTATATTGGCAGAACAAAATAAAATCCCACCAAATCCATTTGCCGTTGAGTTAATTTGGATTTACAGTACTCTGTAGGACAAGAGTAGAATTGCCTCATATGGACTGGTTAGGAGCTGAGTGGTTTAAACACTATGCCACCAAGATGCTTTAAAATTCCACCACTGTAGAATAAGCAGTGGGTCTCAAGGTCCATTTGAACTGCAAGGTTGGCTGTTCAAACGCACCATGTGCTCCTCGGAAGCCCTATACAGGGTTATTATGACAGTACGTAAACAATAACAATCACAAAATAACCGCTCTAGCTATGGGCATGGATCTCTGCTGAGGGACCTGCCACTTTTCTCTGTCCAGGTTCTATTATCATCATTGTCTACTAAACTCACTATGAGAGGAGGTATTTAGGCAAATAATAGCAAATTTTTTTTTTTTTTTTTTTTTTTTGTCTTCTAGTTTTTCATCAAATATTTATTAATTGTTGAGTATAGATATTGGGGGTCACATTTTGCATACAAATGATTTAAAAAACCACCGTAACTACCTGGGATAGAAACACCAAATGATTAGAATATTGACTTTTATGTTTTACTTCCAAGGAGGTCTTGTTTGTTTCCCCCCCTCATATCTTTTTATCTACAAGCTCTTCTGTTGATATTGTAGTCCAGAATCCATGACAGTCTTCTGTCTATTCACATGTCAGCCATGGTATTCAAGTGTTTACTTTAGCCCAACAGTCACCTAGGCCATGAACCCAACATGCTGCTGTTTATCACTGGAAACTGATGGAGGAGAGCCAGAGGTTAAACCAGCCCATGAACCATCTGAAGAAGCCCAAGGATAAGCAGGGACCCTCGGATTTGAGAATCAGTGGCTTATATGAGGAGTCTCTGAGTGGTACAAAGTGGTAACAGATTTCCCCTCTGACATGGTAGTATATCATGATTAAAATCATTAAGTAATTCCACTGGTCTTTTTCCAGGGCCAAAGGTGGGTGACATTGGAGCTTTAGGGAAAAACTAATTCTCTTTTGCTGTTAAGTATGCTAGACAGTGAATGATTTGATTCACTGCTTTGTAGCCAGAAAGTCCCTAACAAACCAACATTCATTCAGCTTTCCATGAAAAGGTAGTGAGGAGATTTATTGGAATAATGTAGATGCTTTTGAAGAGATGTCTTAAATTCAGATTTCTGGGCCTCAACTCCAGAGCCTGATTCACTTGCCCTGTGGTGCATGCCTAGGAATAGGCATTTCAGTGGACCCCTCAGGTGTTATAATTCAGGTAGCCCACTGACTACACTCAGAAAAAAAACACTGTTTTGGTGGGTAGTGATTTTGGAATTGGAAATCAGCCTGGCTCTCCCACTATCAGCCATGACCCTGAGCAAATTCATTTCTGTAGAATCAAGGAAACAATCAGCACCCACCTCAGAGACTTGCTGCATGTGGAGTGCTCTAGCGTATCTACTACACAGTGAACCAGAAATATTCATTTTTACTATTTTGATGACATTATCCTTTTTCCCCAAAAGCATTGAGTCCCCAGCAGATCAATATTTGATATGGGACAAGAGCTATCTAAAAATTTATCTTGTTACTAATATTCTTCTCCCTCTCTTTTCATCAGTGTAGGAGAGAGTTTTTCGCTTTGGAGATCATGGGTAACAACATTTCCAGACATCTTATGCTCTGTTCCCACCACCCAGTGAATGAATACCTTTTGATTTTAATCTTTCTTGGTACAGCTGCTTCCTAGCAGTGTATAACTACCATGGCTGGGCATGGTTACAATAAAAGCTTCTAGGAAACCATTTGCATGGGCCCCAGTGTAGCCAGAAGCAGAGCACTGCCTAACAAGTGGAGTCTATTGCGTGCCTTTTATTCCTCACATCCAGCAATAAGAGGACTGACGGATTCTAATTTAACTCCAGCTTGGCTTATATGGAATCACACAAATGGCTCTGCATGTCAGTAATATCGCTTTTCCCACGTCTCCCTCCCAACTCATTCTTCATGTTGCCCCTTGCAACCCTTCTACTCCAGCTGATTTTTATTATAGATTAAAATTGCAAAGCAAACAGGCTTTACTGCTCAGCTGTCAAGAGGAAAGATGGAGCTGAAAGCACTTTTCATGTCTTTATTGTAGAAAGACTCTCACACATGAATACACTCACACTCACACACACACCTACACTGACATGTACACATACCCCACACAGTCTTTCTTTCTGTCTGTTCTGGTGAGGGTAGGGACAGAGCATGTTTTGATTCTCTGGTAGAGTTCAGATTGCTTAGTAAGTTCTGTCAGGTGCTCACTTGATATGTTAATATGACAAAGGGTTGCTGGATTCCTCCAGGGTGGCAGTCTGAGGGTATAGGGTGGTTGTAGTCACTGTGGAAATTTCACTTCTGACTTTTGCTTCTGCTGCCCTTTCTGCCAGTCTAGGTTCACCACCCTAAACCAAGTGCCAATCATATGTTACTTTTCAAGGGGGTCGCTGTCAGCCGGAACAACTTGAATTTTTGACAATGTAATTATGGCTCTTGCTTCCACAGTGGGAGTCTGAGCAGGATGGTGAGGTTTTATTGATTGTTCAGCAGGGAAATTTATCAATGTCTCTGACTTCATTTTCCAGTTCCTCCCTGGGAAATTTGGTTGACAGTTTCTTAGGAGAAAAGCAGTCTTATGGCCTTGACTGGACTTATGTCTTTGTCCTTTTCAAGAAATTACCAGATATAGGCATTCTCAGATAAGCTAGTAGCTGGGAATGATTTAACAAAACTGTAATGCAATTGTTATGAACATACAACTCAGTAGGAATAAATCATAAGAAGTTGTCTAAACAGGCAAGTCTGTGGTTTGTTTTCTTTCTAAAAATGTCAAATATCTGTATTATATATTATATTTGTGCAAAGTCTTATAATTTTCACAAGTACTATATTTTCAGCACTGGTATTCTAGTTGATAAAGAATATCAGGCTGTCTTGGAGCAGAGGGCTGGGTCCTGTGGAATGTGACTTGTGTGGCAGTGTCTTCCTGGTCACTGGTTTTCAGAGTGTCTGCAGAATCTGAAAAGTCACTGAAGGGACTTCAGGAGTTTCACAAACAATAACTATTTTGAGGTAAAACAATAAAGGTTGAAACTGCTCAAGCAATCCATTTTTTGCTTGTATCAGTCCTGTACTGGTATTCAAAATTTCATACACTAAATAGTGATCTATTAAGTCATCCTTTTAACTGTCATATGTGAGTCCTTTTGAGGAGCCCAGGGCTTCTATTTTCATGATCCTAGTTTCTCCCTAGACAGATGGAGCTCCTGAACATTTTCTATAGGGTCTGTTCTTGGATGTAGGATAAAACTTTCCAAAGCCCATTTTCCTTTTATAGTCATTCCTTTTTATCTAAAAATATATATTGAGACCTCTGTTTTTCTGTTATTTGATGAATCATTTCAAATCTCTCTTCTCCATCCATAGAATATGTTGCTTCTTCTAACCTATTCTGGATCTTTGCTCCTTCCTGTTCAGAATTCTGCCTGTAGAGACTCATCTTCAGAACTGTATCAGACTATATTCATAAAGTTTTTACTAGCCAATTTTTTTTTTTTTTTCAGAGATAGATAGCCAGGGCCTCTTTGCTAATCTGTCTTAGTTTGGAAGTTTCACAGAAACTGGTACACTTGTTCAA